GCAAGCCCCAGAGTGACTTTCCAGCATTTCTCTGGTTCAAACCCAAAGCCTTAGCAGCTTATTTGCTGCGGAAATGAAGCTGGGATGGAGCTACTCTAGACCTACAGTGGTATGTGAGGCTGCTGACATCTTCCTCTCCTGTTGCCACCAGCACCCCACCAAGGCTGCAGCAAACTGAGATGAGGGGAAGCCCCCGTTATGCCCAGAGCACAGGGGATATCAAGGGAGTCCCACGTGGTACCACTGGCGTATCCAGTGCTGGGGACCGCAGCTGAGGATGTGCATCTCGCTTCTTCATTTCTGCCAGGCACTTGCTTGTGCTCCCTCAGCGCCAGCTGCTCTGTGCAGTTAATCTCCCCTCCCTCCCCCCCATATCAGGGTTTTCCGAGTGGCACCGTGTTATTAAGATGTGTGAAAAACTTCTCTCATGCAGAAATAAAAATGTCAGGTTGGAAATAAGGGCGAGTGGAGGATGGAGATGTGTGGAGGAGGGACAGGCGAGGAGGGTCCGTCCCCAGCAGACGTGTTTCTGCCATTGCGTTGGACTGAACTGCATAATATAGCTTACAGTTTAATTACAGGGGCTCCTGCTTGTTGGTGTCATTAATGAGGTATCCAGCTTAATTTAGCTGGATAAAAATGGCTTTAATAGTGGAAACGCTTTTGGCTGCTGGGTAATTGAGGGATGAGCAAACACACCGTCTCTTCTTACACTAAAACCCATTTGTTCTGGGCTGCACGGATCCGGACCCCTCTCTTGTCCCACATCCACCCACCTCTTTTCAGGTGCAGGAGGAGAATGGATGGAGGGAGAGAGGAAGAACTGGAACTTTGCTGTCACACAGTGATAGTGTCCCACCTTTGTAGTGTGTGGGCAGGAAGAAATGGAACTTTGCTGTCACACAGTGTCCCACCTTTGTAGTGTGTGGGGCGTTGCTGGTGGGAATACGGTGTGATGAGCCACCTGCAAAGCGCAGGCTTAGGAGCACGACTACTGTGGCAGGGGGGGGGGGGGGGGGGGTGGGCTGGGGCGGGGGGGGAGGAGCGGGGTGTTGAGCCTGAGTCATGAGTGTCTGCTGCCCTGGACCTGGTCCAGACAAGCTTCATCCAAACCTTTCTCCTTTCTCAACTCCTTTGAAACCTGCTCTGGAGGCAAAAAGGAGCCTGGCAGCTATTTCTAAAGATTGTCTCCGTGGAAAATAGTGTCTTGTGAGTGATGGAGAAAATGTCCCGTGGCAAAGAAGCAGTTTGAATGCAGTCCAGGAGCAATGATGGCAGGTCTGTCCTGAGAGACAGGCTCCCGTTTGCTGCTGAGAAATACACAGGGAAGGCGTTTTGCTTCCCTCCCTCTGTGTTTCCTCGATGTGTGATGTGCCGTGTTTTATTACAGGTGGAGCTGATGCACAGGCTGTTATAAAGGTTGTCTGGCACGCTCCTCTACAAGACTGCTTCCACTTTCCTATAACTGCCTAATTTTAATTGCTCAGGCTGAAATTTTCTGTATTGGGTGTATGCTCCTGGCTGAATTTTTTTTTAAATTTCTTTCTAGTTTCAAATCAAAGCCTGCTCAGATGTTTGAGGTGATGGATGGAGTTGGAGGGAAAAGGGTTGTTTTGCTCAAGCTGGAAAATACTGGTGATGTTTCTGTTACAGAGCACCTGCTCCCTCCTTTTGTGCAGGGGAGGAAACTTTGACAAAGGGGCAGATTTTGCTTGGAAGACTTGTTTTTGCTCTGAGATGTTTCCTTGCATAGGCAGAATGACTCTTGATCCAGTTGGAGGGGAGAAGTTTTGCAAAGGATGTTTGGGAGCATATCGGGAAGATTAGGAGTGGCAGCTAATGGTGAGACACTGGGGTTGGATGAGCAGATGTCAAAGCAGGAAAATCATAAGAAATTTGGGTATGGATGAGGAAATTGCAGAATAATGGGTAGTGTGAATCAGCCTCCTGGGGAGGAGTGTCTGGATGGTGGGAAGGAAAGACCTGGCACTGCCCAGCCGTGTGTGCAGGAGGGTTGGGGTTCAGGTCACTGCAAACAACAGGGATATGGAGGTGACAATGGACTTTCAGCCTTGGAAACAGCAGCAGACAGGCAGAATGGGCAGATGGAGCTGGGAGAGGACTAGTGCTGGTTGGGAGCATTTTGATTTTCCCCAATCCTCTCCATTTAAGCTCTACAAAATACTGTGAAACTCTGTGCACGCAGACAGTGTTCGAGGACGGGGAACGTTGTGAGTGCCAAACAGAAGTTATAACATGCTGGAGCTCAGAACTTCACCTGTGGAGCTGTAATTCAATCTCCTTGTGTACATACCATCTCTAATAACACAATTCCATGCTATCTTCACTGGGAAACCTGCCCCATCCTGTGCGTGGGATGGATCTGTTTTTGCGGAGAAATCAGTGCTGTGCGGTGAGGTTTTTCCATAGGAGCTCCATATCTTTTATGGCAGAAGTTGGCAGATGTACCCCTTGCATGTGGAAACCCAGTCCTGGCATCTCTGACCTTTGGAGTGTTTATGTGTGCAGCCCTTTTCTGTCTCTGTGCTGAAGATGAGGGACCTTTACAAGGGTCCATTTCAAGGGCCTTTCTGACACTTTGAGGTGTCCAAGGCGTCTGTTTCCAATGACAAACATGTTTCTCCCTGTTGTGTGTCCTGGCTAGTCTGCAATGGAGCCATTGAGGGTTGTGTATCCCTTACCAGCCCTGCAGAGGGTGATGGGCAGGTCGGATCGGACACCAGCTTTGCCCTTTGAGAGCAGTGTCTCCTGCCAGACGTGAGCAAGTGAAGAACCATCCCCTCTCTGCCTAATGCTTGCTGTGGTTTGGTGGCTGGGGGAGGAGGGCCTGTGGGAGGCGAGGAGCGGAGCACATCTGCCTGGCAAAGCTCCTTGCATTAGTGAGGTTGTTTCCTTTCTCCATCTCTGTGTCCTAAATTGTAATAACACGATCATGCTATTTTTGATTCCCTTATTTGCGTGGAAAGCCTGTTGTTTTTTCTCTTCTCTTTCAGAATCCAATTTTCTCTTGACATTTCTGCCTAATGTAGCAAAACATGACCTTTGAGAAAGGACATTCCAGCAAGATTCACTCCCTCTGCATCTCTGCCTCTCTCCCACATCTTGCTGTCTCTCATGCATCCCCCTTTACGCTTCCTTCTCCCTGGGTTGGGGGAGGGAGTTACTGTCTTGCTTTTCAGTAGCAGTGAGCTGCTCCTTCCCCTCCTACTTTTCATCTGCCTTTGCAAAGTTTCCAGGTGCACAGTGCTCTGAGGTGGATAGAAGAGGGGGCTTTGCAATATATATATATTTTATCCCCTCGCTTATTTTCACCTGCTATTTTTGCCACCTTTCTAAACTTTATCAGAGGCTGGAGGCAGTTTGTCTACAGCCGTAGGAATGGTGGGATCTTAGTCACATGAAACGAGGCACCTGTGGTTTCCGCAGCGGGATAGTCTGATGTGAAGCTGAGCGAAAACTTAATGATGCAGCACTGTGTGCCGTCGTGGTATTTGGGCTTATTCTTCTACCAGGCTTGTGGAGAACCTCTGGGACAATGGTTGCTGTGTGAGCTGTAGTGGCCTCCCCACTCCTAATTGCAGAGTTTTGGGCTTACTAGCAGGTAGGACAGGACCAGAGATGCTTTTTCCTTCTCTGAACCTGGGCTGTGCCCTCTCTGCATTTGCCCAACACGTGTTTGCCCTTGCTGCACTGCAACCTGCTGCAAGGCAACAAATGAATCTCTCACCCCAAATCCTCATGGAGCAGACCTGCACTGCTAGAAGCCATTCCAGGCTTTGCTGTCTTTGTTTTAGCATGTTTGTGCAAACCAAACAGGGACTGTGGGCTGAGTCCAGCATGGCTGGGCTGCCTGCTGTCACCTCTGTGCCACCTTGTCCTGTGTCTCCTCTGTGGCCCTTCATGGCCCTCTCCAGTGAGCGGGGCTGTGGCAGGAGGGTGCCTGCAGCCTTGCACCGAGCTGCCCTGACTGCCTGCAGCCCACCCAGGTGTCTTGTGATGGGGAGGGAGCTGGTGGGGACAGGGCTGGATTCGGCAAAGGGTGGGAGGCAGCATCTCCTATGTTTTCTGGAGGCCAGTGTAGACACGGGAGGATTAGGGTTACTGCCAGAAGCAGAATCCCCCATCAGAAGCATAAGTCACCTGTCCCTTTGCTCACCCCATGAGCTGGTCCCTCAGTTGGTGGCTGTCAGTCTGGCTAGGCATCCCTGGGAAGGCTGCCCACTACAGAAAGCACTTCATTACCATCTTTTCATGTGGTTAGAAACTTGGGGCTTTTCTCTTTCTGCTTAGTCTGCCCCAAACACTTTTCTTCCTCTTGGTTTTAGTACTTTGGTTGCTTTTACACTCTTCTATCCTCTCCGGCTTTCAGCTGAAGAGGTGATGTCTGCTGGGTTGCAAAGCTCTCCCAGGTAGTTGAAATTTATGTTTTTGCAAGTTTGGGCAGATGGAGAGAGGGATGGGGAGCTGTTAGCTGCTGTAGTGGTGGTACCCCTGGGTGCAAACAACATGCAGCCATACCGGGACACTTGGGGCGCACAGCTACTGCAGATCATACGATAACACCTTGGGTAATCATCATGCTGTCAGTTTAGCCTGGCTGTTACTATTTTAACCCAACGTTTGTGCTTAAATTTTTTTGTTTAAGGTGTGAAATTAGACTTGTTCTTTCTGCTTTTGGTTGGTAAAGCTCCAGATTCATGGGCAGGAATTGGACTCCTCTTGCTCTGCTTGGATTTCTTTTTCTTAACATGGCAGCAGTATAGAAACCATTTTGCCCCTTGGAAAAAATAAGTAAAATGAGAAATTTCCATTTGGGTTCATCCTCATTAAAATCCCTCATTATGAAATCTAAACTTGGGTTCTAAACTACTTGACAGCCTCCCTGTAGAGGAGGACGATGAGCCCTGCAGAGGCGGTAGGGCCGTGTGCAGGGGGAATCATTTATCGTGACTACAGCTCTCTTTCTTGTTAATTTTCAGAGACCTCTCTGGGAACCGGCTCACCACTCTCTCATGGCAACTCTTCCAGACCCTGCGACTCTTTGAACTGTAAGTCCCACCCTGGAGATATCTCCTGGGAGAAGAGGGGAGGCTGAGTGGAAGAATGATTTCCAAACAGAGTTATTTTGAAGCCTGTGAATAATTACCTAAAACTCCAGTGGGCAGCACCATCCTTGGGAGGATTTCCTGGGTATGGGAGCACCAGAGCAGAACTGCTTCTCTTAACTTCGCAGCAGCTGGCTAATTAACGTCGGGATGATGAACAAGTCATGCTTGGGGTAGTAAATGGTTGACTAACTCTGGGAGCACATTAGAAATACTCACTAGGCCAGATTTTGAGGGAATTTTCTCAAATACTTGATCCTCATCTGTTGCAGGGTAGGGCTAACTGTTTTTCCTTAGCTCATGGACATACTTTATAAGACACCCCTGCTTTTTAGGCAGATGACTCCCTTGCTGTCTAGCAACCAAGGCACCTCCCAGCTGTGAAGTGGGAGATGAGATAGTGTCTCTCCTGGGGTACCGGTGGCCTTCAGCCTGCTGAATTATTGATAGAGCAGTCAGCGCTGCGCTTGAAGAATAAGTGGACACGAAATCAATGCAGCATTGCCCTGATGACCTGTTTTGTTGAATTTTAGAAATAGTTGTTTGGTGGGAATAAAAAAAAATATATATGTAGGATTTGTCCCAGAGGATCCTGGGAAGCTCCATTCATCCTCACTGATGATCAATAGAGCTGTAAGCTAGAAGTGACTTATGAAAGAATAAAGACAGTCTTTCAAGTGGGAGTAAGTGTGTTATCACCAGTGTTACTGCAGTGTATTTTATTTCTGTCAAATTGTTAAATGAAAAATACTAATAGTGATATTAGAAAATAGAGAAACGCCCTTCTGATGGGGAATCTGGCTTGCAGAGTTAAAATGCTGAATTTGGAATTTGTCTCCTCGCTGATTACAGCTCTAAATATTTTTCAAGCCTGGCTCAGGTTTCAAGTTTAATAGCATGAGTCATTTGTATTCTTAGACCTTTACTTATTGTCATTGCACTGTCTGGCAAAACTCAGATTGATGGTTGTTACCCAAGAGAGACCCAAGAGTGGAGGAGCAAATGGGGCTGCAGCCCTGTGCTAGAGGCATTGGCAAGGTCTGGGGTGACAGTGAGCCTGCAGATTAATGGATGTACTTCCAATGGGGCTTGTTTTTATGTGGCTTTGTTTCCTGTGGTTATATTGTGTTTCTTCAGGCATGTCCCAGGTCTGCCAGCCCAGGACAGGCTCAAAAGGCCAATACCAGCCACCAAGGGACTTTAGATGCTGCTCTTTGGGTAGCAAAGTGTACTTATTCCTGCCTGATGAAGAATACAACCATGTTGTCCTAGCAGAGAAGCTGGTGTGCTTGTGGTGGCGCTGGTTGGTGTCACTGGAGTCATCTGTGGCCATTGCACTGCAGCCTGGCAGACGGGAAGGATCTGAATTACTTGGCTCCAGTTGGAGCTGTGCTCAGAGTGGTTTTCTCAGGCGTAACAATCTTCCTGATTGATGGAAGAAGTAATGCAGATAGAAAAATGGGAGATTGTGGAGGTAGGGAGAGGTGATGGGGTGGGAACACAGCTCTGATGTGATGCGTGGTGTCCTGTGGGGAGGCTTGGCACTGTGTAGGGCTACAGCCTCAGTCGAACCTCTCCTGCAACTGCGCTGAGAAAGGGTCTTGGCAAACGACCCCCTGGCACGAACTCCAGTGACCAACTTAGACCTACAGATGCATGTGCCTGTGGGGCCTGGCTCACTCTTGGCTGGGCTGGAGTAAGAGCCTGGTCAAATTTATTTTTTCTGGAGAATTGCTTTGTCACCGGTGCTTCCTGACAAATTTTTCCTTGTCACTAAAGACCCTCTATCCACATGAACACCGGTAGGACAGTCAGCACCTGAACAACATGACGATGCTTTTCCTCCAAAGAGTGATGGGAGAGGAGTATTTTAGCTGATATCCACTAGGATGTTGGCATTAATGGGGCAGGGGGATGTGTGCAGTGTTCTCCTGGGGCCGTGAAACTGTCCTGCTGAGTTTTGGATTTGTTTGAGAGAAGACAGCATGGAGGTGTAGCCTGAGCGATGGGCTCTGAATAAATCATTCACATAACATATGTCTTTAATTCCCAACATCTTTACCTACTGTGACTCAGGTCATGGTCCTGAGTGCTAGAATGATGGGACCTGTTAATGAGGGAAACTAAATCTCAGAGGCGGGAGAAATTAGTAATGGATGCACAAAAGTGGGAAATACTGTATTTTTTTTTAGAAATGCAGAGGATGGGTGAGTAGAAGACAGTTTTTTGGCACACTGAGCTCCAAAGAGGCTTCCAGAATCTGGGAGGAAGACAGAATACGTGGCCCACATAAAGTGAGTGTGAAGCACTGGTGAAAGCTGGAAAGGGAGTTGCAGACTGACATCAGCCAAGGACTTGAAGTTGAGCCAAAATTCTCTGGAAGTGAAGAAGGCGGTGAGACCGATGCAGAGGCAGCAAGCCTGAGGAAAGGCAGGCTGAGTAGCAGCACTTGCGCACAGCCACGGGAAGCCCAGAAGTCCCTAGGGACGCACAGATGCTGGCAAGAGTCAGTTCTCCTTGAGAGGGTTTGGTCTATGGGGAGGGTTGTTGGGACAAGCAGGCACTGCTCTGCAGTGGTTCCCTAGAGGCACCTTAGAGTGCCATGTCCCAGTGCTACCTGGCAGTCATGGATTCAGAAGAGGATAGTCATTGAAGGCAAAACCATGACGTGCAGTGAGGCAGCTCAGAGCAGCAGAGCACGCAGGACGGGATGCGATGGGAGGATCGTCTCCAGGAGAGTATTGGGAGGAGAGGAACTACAACTGCTGCGACATGGAGATTGCCAGGGAACATGAGGCCTGACAAAGACACTCACGGTGAACACGGCGGAGAAGAGAGCAGAAGACTAATGTGAAGATCATGCCATGCAACGAGAGCAGGCAGGTGGATGGGAACTTGGGGCTTTAAACAGCTGTCTGGCTGCATTCAAGGCATCTCAACCTCAGGGAAACGGCATTACTTTAAAGCAGAAGGTTTCGTTTCTTGTTCAACAGAGCTGAGCTTTTCCCCTGCTGACTCACTGAAGAAAGGATGGCAAAAGTGAGGCGCACTTCCAAAGAATATTATCTCTTTTCTCCTCCTGGCCAGAAGCAAGGCTTGGAATGGTTTCCAATAACTCCAGCCCTAATTCCCACGGCACAGGCTGACCTTGACCGGCAGGGTTTGAGCTAATGTGTGCACAGCTCTCCTAAGTCTGAAGCTGAGTGTGCACAGGGAAGCATCTGACACATGCAGCAGCTCATAAACATTGGACTTAGAGCCTTGCTTATCCAGAAGTCACAGCTGGTTTCCTCTGTCATGCCCTTGGCTTCCTTTGTCATGTCCTCTGAGAGCTTAGGGCTGACATTTCAAGACATTCGTTCCCGGAAAGACGCAAGACTCTGGATCCAATTACATCTTCAGTTGTAGAAAACCTTGTAGTCCTGAACATCTTGCTGCTCTGCCTGGCCCATCAGCATTTCTAACACCAGCAGCCCCTGAAAGCTTACCCTGCAGTAGGTTTCTGCAGTGCTACAGCAAGAGCCTTTGGTGGGGATGGGGTACAGCAGCATCTCTGTTAATATTATGAGTTCAGCTTAACGTCGTCTGTGCCTCTAGCTTGAAAACTTATTGCCGCCAACAGTCACACTAATAGAGTTGTAGCTAGACAGTGGGTACTTGCCTGCTCTCTGCATTAGCTAATCCAGCTGACAGATGCCACACATCCTTCCTTATCCAAGTTCTTCCCTTTCTATCCCACCCCTTCCTGGCAGGGGTTCGGAAACAACAATTCTGGCCAGACTGCCAAGAGAAACCCTGGTTCTGGGAAATAAAGAGAAATGAAAAACAAAAATAGACTTTGTTCTCTCTCTGCTGGGCACTCTGGTTCTCAAGCTTAGAGAAGCGATCTCAGTCCTGAGGTAGGAGAGTGTGTTCATTGCAAGTGTATGAAACCTCGGCAGCAGTTTTATGTGAATCAAAACAAACAGACGTGTGGCAAGGATCTCCACTGCTCTCGGAGAGGCTCTGGCTGCAGACAGCTTTGTTTTAGCTGGTGAGTGGGGAGGCATGGGACAGGGCATGTGTCTCATTTAGCTGCCTAGTCTGAAAAAACCTTGCTTTGTGTGTGAAGTCCTGTCTGTCCCAGTGCATATTCTCCTGCCCTCGTCCAGGCGATTTAGGGAGGTACAGCTTTCTGTGAGGAACAAAGCTGGGCTCGGAAAGGCACTTGCAGCACTTGCAGCATCGCTGTCCTGAAAGAGTTGACTTCATACCCAGATGGCTCTGGGGGATCAGCTCTGTCATTGTCCCCTCAAATGACAATGCAGGGTGTGATTATCCCAGCTTTCCTCTGTCCCAAACACAAGCCCTGCAGTGTGCCTGCTTCATGAAGGGGCTGTGCCCAGAGCACACCCTGCTGCAAGCCTGTGCTTTGCCTTGGGCTGGTGAATGGCTCTAGCTCAGGTGTGGGTTCGGTCCCTGTTTGGGCCAACTCCTGGGTGCAGAAAGCAGCTGTGCTTGTGCAGAGAGATCCCAGCTTGCTTGGGGCTGTGATACTTGCTATTTCTCAGAGGTGTTTTCAGTTTTAACGAGGCCTTCAGAAGGTGTGGGAGTGTGCTCTGTCCTGGGCACCTGTAACCAAATGATGCTTTGGTGATGTTTCCAGGCTAAGGATACATGTGAAAAATGCTCTTTGGGTTTACTTGCCCTCTCTGGGGGTAAGCTGTGCTGGGTATGGCTCACAAGGAGTCCCTTAACATAATTCTCACTGCAGTGCTGCTGTTCCCATTTGAAGACCTTAGGCTGCCCCACCATGCCGTTCAGTGCCAGCTTTTGTCCCTGCTGTGATGGGACACATCTCCGTGGCACATGCTGATGCCTTCTGACCTGACAGTGGGTTTTGGCCAAAGGGTTCCTTGTGTTCCCCAAGGTGCTTCTCCTTTTAGAAAAGGGAAGCTGTGTTTATCTCAGCATGTGGAGGATTGTAGGTAGTGGGGACATGTTAACAGGAAGAGTTGGAAGGAGCTGCAGCTCCTAATGATCCCTGCAAGCCCTGAGGCTGGGGTGCTGATGGGGTCTGAGGAAGGAGTTGAAAGTTCAGGTTTTTGGGCAGGTACAGGACAGCATGAGCATGAAAATCCTGGTGCCCCTCTCTGGAGAGCTGGCTGGCATGGCAGGGCAGGCACCCAGCGAGGAGGGAGGGCATGTCCAGAGTGGGTCAAGAGCGCTTTTGCAACACGTGTTAGGGAAAACGGGTGCACGTATCTGTGCCCCTTCTACATGTGGTGCTGCGCCAGCTGCCGGGGACGGGAGTTAATTTGTGCAAAAGCCCCTGTGGGGGTCTCAAATAGAGCGAGTTACATCACTGACGTTGGGGCAGGTCGTGGGTAACTCTGCCCTGAAGCCTGCTGCTCCTGTATAATTCATGGGCCTTCATGAATTAGCAATGGACCGGGAAGGCTGCTGTCTATTACTTACAGAGCTGCCCTGAAGTGCTGGGACAGTGGCTCTCCCGGGCAGCCTGGCTCTGTGAGGATATTAGCAATGGAGCAGAATTTCTCCCCCGTTGCCTATGAGGTCCCCTGACTCTCTGCTGGGTCCCAGGCTAGAACTCCCCTTACCTGATCTGCCGTTAGCTGAGCCCATGGTTTTTACCATGTGCCATCCCATGTCCTGTGGGTAGCAGTGACCTTGGGAGAATCCCGAGGAGAATGTGGATTCATGGCCATGCAAAGCCTCTGCGAGGAACTGGCAGTACTTGCCGTAGCGTGCAGGGAATGTCTTGCCATTCAAATCCCACCACATCACTCTGCTAATCTGTTCTGGCCTGTTAAATTTAGTGCTTTGGCCTTTGAGTCACTTCTCTGAGCCTTGTACATGTCTTGCAAAAGTGTAGGTGCTTTTGAGGGGAAAGGAATGAACTAATGAAAAGCAGTGGGGTTAAGTTTAACTCAGTGCTAGTTACAGTAATTAAAAAGAAAAAGTCAGATGCCACTTTAAATCTCCTCGTAGAATGAGATGCCATCATTAGGGTTCAGGTTTAACACCCTTGGCTGCTCCCAGAAGATCCCTTCTCCTCCTCCTCCTCCTTTTGCAGTACTGTATGGATGAAACAGCAGCTGCACATGTTTGGAAGGTTGTTTCCAAATCCTGTTAGTCAGTGGAATTAATTTTGTAAAAGCCAGCATGAATTTTGCAGTAATGCGTGGAACAGACCAGAAAAACAACTTCCCCCTGTACGACAGGGGCTGTAGATGTTGTGTGAAGCAACGGTTTGACCTTGAGAGATGTCTTTCTGCTTTGGGGTGACTGGGCTGACTTTTGCAGTGCTGGCTCCTTTGCTCCCTACTTTCTTCTTCTTCATAGTTATGTGGGGAGGTGTCTTGTTTGTTCAGGCTGTACCTCCTGTTTTACTCAAGTTATTGTTGCAACCCCACATTGGTAACTCAGCCTGCCCTTCCAAAGCACTGGCCTCTCCTCGCTGTCAGGGCCTGCCCTCCTTGTATCTTCAGAAAGCTGTAGGGCTTTAAAAACGTAAATGAAATGGTTAATAGGTTGGAAAATCAATTATAATAAACATTCCTGGTATATAAACTGTGTGTAACTGTGTTTTAAATGAAGTACATTAAAGACAGTGCTTTTTTTCCATTTCTCCTGGCCAGGTCAGCAGGGTCTCTGTGCAGTGCGGTTTGATTTGATTAAAATGCATGATACCCTGTGCATTGGCTCGTGTCCTGGGTCACCAGGAGGCTGTGTTTGTACAAGGTACTCTGGAGAGGAGCTGCCAGCATCACTGAGCGCTTGTAGGGGCTGGAGGTGTGCTCTGCCCAACAGAGTCTTGGACCCCTCCTGAAGGGGAATTCGAAGATGTGAATCAATATTTTAGAGCACTGTGGAGCTGCCTGTTCCTTTGCTGAGGGATGAATGTTTTGGGTGTCCGGACAGCGTTGCTGAGGGACCAAGCTGCAGATGTGCTGCAGATCTTGCGGTAAAAGACGTTGCGTGTATCCATGTGCTGCCCTGGGAGATGTAAAACCTTGTGTGAGTGCATGAAGGAGACTGAACGTATGGATGCGTAACCTTGGTCTCTTTGGAGTCAGGAGGGATGTGAACAACGTGTTCCAGAAGGCCTCAGGCAAATAATGCGGAGGAGATTTTTCATTAGCTCTAAAGGGAGGGCCCCTTGTTCCTGCATGGTGGCCATCCTCCTCGGGGATCCTGGAGCCACAAGACAGTCGTGCTCATCCTTCCCAACCCCACCATCCTTTTTCACGTTCTCTCTGCCCATAGGAGACTAGAGAGGAACCTTTTTAACTGCAGCTGTGACATCCGCTGGATCCAGCTCTGGCAGGAGAAGGGCGAGGCGAACCTGCAATACCAGGAGCTCTACTGCATGAACACGGATGCTGCCATCATCCCTTTGCACGAGATGAACATCACCCAGTGCGGTAAGGTGCAGCTCATGCTGAACTCCTGGGGCTGGGTGGAGGATGCTAGGAGGGAGCCCGGTCCTAACAGCATCTCTGGTTCAACTGTTTACTTGGGGAACCTGGTGTAGCAAAATCCCACCGTGTGCTCAAGAGCAAAACAACTGAAGCTGATGGGGGTAGTTTGAGGATTAAAAATAGAGTGTCTATGTAAGTGTGGGGCTGGCGTTGCTGTACGAGCAAAGGTATCAGGTGATTTGGGGGCGTTTCCTTCACTGTAATGCTGTTGCTTGACGGTATGTGTGTGATGAGTCTGTGTGATGTTTTGAAAAAGGATACATTTCGTATTGCTCTTCTTCTGTCTAATAAATCTGAGAAACAGCATATTGTTAAAAGACGCTGCCACCGTATCTTTCGTAATCGCTCTTAGGGAATGCACAACTGTGTTTGTTTTCTTTTGTTTTATTTTTTCAATTGAAAGCCCATGTCTATAGGGAAGAGGCAGGAGTGATTTTGTACCTTTTTCTGTTTAGTTTAAGAGAGTCCAGTGGCCCCAGGAGCAACATGAGGCATGTTCAATAGTTATCCCTTTTTCCTTCACCTTGTTCACACATCAGCTGCCTGTTTGGTGTCAGTTTTTGCTCTGCTATTGCCATTACTGGAAAGCATCCCTTGCAGAATAAGGGGAAAGAGGTGTACCTTCAACAGAACAATTAAATTGTCTGTATGTGAACAACTGTCAAACAGGCTGAAAAAAGGAGGAAAACCAGAGGTTTTCTTTTTGTGATGTTCGTTCTCTGTTCTAGGAATTTGGGTTTGTTTCTTGGAGCAGTGGTAGACAAAGAGCATGCACATTTGGATTTGTATGATTTTTTTTTTTTTTCCCCCAAGTTCACGATGTCCCTTTATTAAGTTCTGGAAAATGGCCAAAGTGTTGCTACATGTGGATGAACTAAAAAGATTTGAGAGACCGCTGTAATTTCCTCCTCACATGGGAAGAATAATCATCAGGGTTTAGAGGGAAAAAAAAAATATGTAGGGATCAGGGACAGGAGGAGAAGGTGATTCCAGCAGTGGTGATATTAGTCTTGAGGTGACAGCAGGGTGCTGATCTGGGGACATAGATGTGCTGGTGTGCAGGGTGAACACCACCTCTGACCTCAGTCTCCTGAAAGGGAAAAGATCTGCCACACTGATCTGCTTTCCTCTAGAGGGGTGTCTATCTGTCCAAGTATTGAGATGACTCAGGAATGTTATAACAACACACCATTTATCTTTGTCCTTTGCTGCTGAGGGTTGACGTGGCTTGGTGTGGCCACATTCTATGCCAACTCAACCTGGTGAGACCATAAATGTTCCTCCCTTCTCTCTCTGCTGATTCCTGCCACCTCTGCATCTTTGCCACGCCTCCTTCCTTCTGGCGTCCTGCAAATCAGTGCAATGTTGCTTCCTTCCTGGTGTTGCTCCCTGATGGGAATGAAAGGATGTTTATCCCTATACATGGCTTTGGGTCAGCATGACGGATGCTGCTGCCCTGCAGTGGGAGGTGACCACTGGTCAGCTCCCCCCATGCCTTGCCTACAGAATTTGCCTCTACGATAAGCCCGGAAAGCCTCCTCTATGCAAGGAGGTTATTTGTCCTGCTTCTTGCAACCAGCACTGTCTTGTTTCCTGTTGCAAAGATATTTGGTGCCTGTGGCAGCAAGTAAGGAAGTGGTGTAAATCAGAGCCACCATAAATCAGTGAATCTCTCTGCTGCCATCAAGGAAGAACAAGGGCACCTTTTATTCGGAGAGCTGCAGTTAATGGGAGGACACATCCTTGGTCATCTTCTCTCCATTGGTATAAATCAGAGGGACACTTTCCTCGCCTGGAGTGCTGGACGCTCTGTGCCTTGTCCCTGGTGGTGGGAACGCTTTGGATCATCTCCCAGCACATGGAGCTTTCCCATCCCAGGTGACTGCCCTGGGGAGCAGCTTATGTGGGAGTAGGAGAGATGGGGATGGGGGTTGTGTGAAGGGAAGGGCAGCCAGAACTGGACACCAACTTTTGGACTGGACTGTGATGGGGAGGGTCTGTTCAGCTGGTACATGTTCAGTGTCTACATTTTCCTCTATCTCCAAGACCCCTCCTTCCCTCAGTAAGGCAAGGCCGTGCTGTTGCCTCCTGCTACTTATCCCAAGGTGCTGGAGGCTGATTTGGGGAACTTGGTGGGATCTGGGTCCACACGCATGTCCTGTGGCTGGCTATAGCAACCGTGGCTCCACACCTGAGCACCTCGGTGTCTGGCTCTCCTAGACCTGCCTGAGATCAGTGTGAGCCATGTGAACCTGACCGTGCGGGAAGGGGAAAACGCCGTCATCACCTGCAATGGCTCAGGCTCGCCGCTGCCTGACGTCGACTGGACGGTGGCTGATCTCCACTCTATCAACACGCACCAGGTAGGGGCTGTGGGACCTCAGTGCCGCCTGCGCCCAACGTGGCAAGGACAGGGCAGCTGCCGTGGGTTCCCCAGGTCTGTGACTGCAGGGCAGAGCATCAGGTAGATGGCGGAGACTGCTCTGAGAAATGTGTAAGGGCTGTATCCAAAGGGAAATCGAGGCCATACTGTATCCACATGAGAACCTGGTAACTATGGGAAGGCAACAAAACTTTCCGCCTTTATGGCTGAAAAGTTAAAATGGGATAGCTTCATGTGTCAGTGCTCCTTAATTGAATTAACTCATGTCCCCTCTAATGAAACCGCCTGTTTACAGAGGTGTCTGCAGCAGCTGTAGCTGAAGTAGGCAGCTAAGCTAAGGTTTTCTGGAGACAAGCCAGGTTTGAGTGCTACAACGCTGTGGCTCTCCCTCTCCCAATAGTTCCTCTTATAGGATATGGTGTACCGAATCAGATGAGGAAACACCTCCCCCTCACATGGATCCTGGTTGTCCTTGGATTTTGGAGACCTTCTTCCTCGCAGTAGTTCCTCTTGTAGGATATGGTGTACCAAATCAGATGAGGAAACACCTCCCCTGACATGGATCCTGGTGTCCTTGGATTTTGGAGACCTTCTTGCATCTTATGTGGAAACTGGGATCCTCAGCTGCTGAGGGCAGGAGCAGTGAGGAGAGAAGCCAACAAGCACTGGTTTCTGTCTGTGTTTCTCTCTGGGATTTTTAGACCAACCTCAACTGGACTAATGTTCATGCCATCAACTTGACCTTGGTGAATGTCACCAGTGAGGACAACGGATTCTTGCTTACCTGCATTGCTGAGAACGTGGTGGGGATGAGCAATGCCAGTGTGCTGCTCACCGTCTACTGTAAGTAACAGTGACCATATAGAGGCTGGAGGGCTGCTCTGGGAACTGTATGAATGCATGGCCACTTGATGCCTGTGATACACTGGTTTTGTGGATGAAGAGAAGGAGGTGGATCCTCACACAGCTCTTTGAAGTGTCAGTGTTTTTCCTTTCCTGCTGCTTCCATTAATGCAGAAATGAGTACTAGAGCAGGGGAGGAGCAGTAGTGTCACACTGGTGGTGGACATCTCTTCACCCATCTCTTGGGAGATACAGCAGAGTAGGGAAAAGCTGTAGAGGGGCTAAAGCTGTTTAGAGAGTTGCTCTGCCTGATGCCATGTGAGTGGTTAAATGTCACCCTTGCTAATGCCAGTGTAAATCTTGCATCTGAATTCAGAGGTGCTAGTGGTTCCTCCCAGATCGGTTTCTACAAAGTTAAACAGGAAACACCATGTAAACATGCACATGTCAAATTTCAATTGTTCACTTTTATCTGCAAGTAGCTAAACTTTCTCTGTGCTTTCTAATATAACTTAACACAAACCTGACCTTAAGAGGAAGTTTACACAGCTTTGCACTCTCAAGCAGCTGAGATTTACTATATGTTGCTGGGCCTGTAATATTTGCCTTTACTCTGTAGTTCGAAAATCTATCCCCGACCTCCAACCCTGCCCAGCAGAGCAGAGACCCGTGCAGGATTCTGGCTAGTCTTGGTGACCACACACATGTTGCATGTCCCGGTGCAGGAGCCACTAAAGACAAGGGGTCACAGAGGAATAGGAAGAGGAGAGCACATGCTTTACTGCTTTCATCTTCCTCCCAATAAGTGCTATTGATGGATTAAAGAATGGAGGTAATTAAAGTTCACATTGGCTCAGAGGTGATTGGTCAGCAGGCGGATGTGTTTTGCACTGTGTTTTTAGCATCTTTTTCTCCATGCCTTGAACAGCACCGTGCCAATGCCGGTTTTCACCCGTGTAATCCTCTAAGCTGCTGACAGTTTCTGCTACCCCTGCTCTTGCTGCCCAGACCCATCACTCAGGCTGTAATTTCACGCTGGAAAGATCTGGGTTTGTGCGTGTAGGTGGCTGCCTGTTTTGAATCCTCTTTGCCAGGAAGACATGAACAACCCGCACGCAGATCTAGGCTTGCGAGGGAAACGAGGTGGCTGAGACATGGCTTCGTGGTTCAGGGTAGCTGGGTGCTGGTGTGAGAATTTTGCTCGGCTCCAACCAGCTCTGCACCTTTTTCTCTTCTACCACCTTCACTGCCTGAAAAATTCCCTTTTTTCCGAAAGATGGGTCAGAGTTGGTGCATTATATTTGTTCCTTGTGGATGCCACATGGGTTGTCTTTGCAGCAGGATGGTACCAGGAAAAGGAGAGTTTTAGGGAAGACCTACACCTTTTTGTGTCCTTTGTCTTTGCACAAAACTCTCTTCTAGTTCAGACCTTGCCAGCCTTGGGGTTTGGGACCTCACATGTAGGCGTTGTAAATGGGTCTTAGAAGTGATGGCAGAGCCACATTTGAATTCTTGGGGTGTCCCGAGGGGAAGACAACGCATATGCAATAAACTGCAGGTGGAGTCTCTGCTGTTCTTTTCCCTCTCCCACTCCTTTTAATTAAAACACCCCTGGAGGGTGTTCGGTGGGTGAGAACTCCTTTGGGATATTCAGGCAGCCAAAACCCCCAAGGACAGGCAGTCGCTGGGGGATGTTTGCTTCCACAGCTACGCAGTCCAAAATTGCTCAGTGTGAGTGGCAAGTCCCCAAGGGGCACCTGGCACATGTGTAATGTAACAGTGCTTGGTCACAGCGTCCTCCGTAACGGGGACAGGCGGCCTCCCTGTGATCCCTTGAGGGAAGGGGAGCAGCAGTAAGTGTGTAGACTGGGTAACTCCAAGCTAATCGCTTCTGGGCTGGTAAAAGGACAATCCCTGTCATTAATTTACATCCCTTGTTCACAAGCCCGAACAAACTGGCTATGGTTCAGATCCTCCTTCTGGGGAGCCTGGGGTGGTTCCTGTGACTTAGCGCTACTTCTTTGCAGACACCCATGGGAAGAGTAGAAGGAACAAGGGAAGTTTGGAGATGGTGTTTTCAATATTCTTAATTTCCATGGTGCACAGAGAGATGATGTGGGTGGAGGTGTGCTGTGAGCCTGCCATGTTTCTCTCTGGTAGATCCCCCTCGCATCCTAACCCTGGAGGAGCCGGTGCTACACCTGGAGCATTGCATTGCGTTTGCGGTGCATGGGAACCCCGCTCCCACTCTTCACTGGCTCCACAATGGCCAGGTCCTCCGGGAGACAGAGATCATCCACATGGAGTTTTACCAACAAGGGGAAGTGTCTGAGGGTTGCCTGCTCTTCAACAAACCCACTCACTACAACAATGGCAACTACACAATTGTGGCCACCAACCAGCTGGGCTCAGCCAACCAAACCATCAAAGGACACTTCCTTGAAAAGCCCTTTCCAGGTAGGATATTCAGTTTATCTTATTAGGGTGGCTTGCAATCTAGAGGTCTTACTATGGTCCCACCGGTAATCATCCTTGCACCTAGATAAGGCCTTGACAACACAAGTTGGACTTAGTCTGAGCAGCATGTTGGAAGATGTGATCTCTGGAGGCTTCTTCTGAGTTGTATGATTCTCCTACTCAAGTGTGCTTTGGTGTCATAACAGCTCTTTAATGCAGAGAGGGAGACTAACTTATTTAAATATTTTTGTTGTTTAGTATTTTCAATATTATGTGTTTGGTTATTTTAAAATCTTTAGGGATTTCAGTGGGAATAGGATGCAAGTTTGATCAATTATTTTGGATCTCCTCTGGGGTGCACTAAAGAAGTCACCTATTTTTTTGAGAGAAAGTATTCTGTGTAGTTGCTAATTGTAAACTAAAGAAAGGAAAAGCCTTGAAAGTGAGGCAGCTCTTCTCCCTTTTTTTTTTTTTTTCCCCCCCTTCTAGCTTGCATTTGTGAAATGATTTAGCTGGATGCAACAGCGTCAGGATTGTTTTCTTCCTAAATATGACATGTACAATTCCAGGATGACAGGTCTACAAAAGATGCAATGGCTCAATTAGTCGCTTTGCATCAGTTGGCTGGGATTTCTTAAGTGATTGTTTGGAATTCCCTGTTGTACTCCCTAGTGGTTCAGGGCTTAACTGCAAAAACAAAAAAGCATTTGAGGACATGAAGATCCAGCTCTGGAGAATGCAGGAGAGACTTTTGTGGTGATCTGTCTGCTCTGTAGGAGCGTGGAGGGTCTTGGTCTACTCCCTGTCATTGTAACATCATGCTGGACATCATGGAGTTAAGATCTGTGCATGCTGCTGCCTTCGGGAATGATGCCATGAGAAAGTGGCGGTTCTAAATTGGCCCCTGCAGCCCAAGAAAATCCAGCAAAATAGGGCATTTGCTAAATATAGAAAAATACCAATGGTACTCGCATTTATTATTTATATCATACCATATATGTACACAGAGTTTTCCTGCAGGTCAAATATCATAAATGCAACCCCAGATCTCTGCCTTGACGATCTGACAATTGAACAAATGGGCTGATATGGATAGGAGTGGAAAACTTACATTCAACCTTCAAGGATGATGCCCTGTTTGGCTCTCTGACCTATTTATTTTTCTTGCTGTCGGGGCAAAAGAGCAGTTTATCAAATGTAGGTGGGTGCAGAGAGGCACAGGTTTGCACTTTCAGCTCTGTCAGGTCCCACCTTAGTGACTCAGTTTCCCCATCTGTGAAATGGGGCCAGCTCTTAAGTAGGTGCTGGACCTACAGAAAAGGGGGCAGAGCTGTTGTTCTGCAGAGCTGATTTTGGAAATGGATCTGAACCGTGCTGTGATGTGGGAAGGGATGTTGATGTTTGAAGAGCCACTTATGTCAAAGGCTCTGGGAGAATCCATTTGTGAGAAATATATGTAAAATATTGCCCTTGTGAGAGCATCTTCACCCACACCTTGTATGTGCTGTTGGTGTTGAACCATCTTTTGTCAGGAACTGACCCATTTATTTTATTTCTTCTGATCCGAAGTCCCAGACCATTTCTCACCCTGGCAGACCCTGTCAGCCCAACGCAGGTTGTAATTTACTTTCCTTGAAATTTGTTGCTCTGTCCACTGCCACAGCTGACATGAACACTCAATGCAGCTGATGTTTATAATTTCCCATTTGAAGGTAGATTCCTCCAGAAAATGCCACAAATGGAAGTTTCCCCAGTGTAGTTAATTCAAGAAGCTTATGGCCTATAGCTATTCACACGTGCAAGGGTTTTGCTGTCACTACCCTGGATGAGATTATTAGTCTTAATTAATGAAAGTGTAGTGCCTGGAAAACTTTCTGTCAGCATAGAAAGGACTCGTGACCATGGTGGTTTTTGGTTTAAAAAAAAAACAAACAAACAAACCAAAAACCCAAAAAAACCCACCTGGTCTGCAATCTCTTGTTGGTACCATGCCAGATTGTGCTTCCCAGGTTGAGAGGAGAAGGGTGCTATTAAAATCCGGATGGGAGCTAGGAGATATGCCCCGTGCCATATCCTGCTTCTCTGCAATGTTGTGGAAAGATTCGTGTCATCTCCTGACAAAAATCTCATTGCATGTTGTCACTGGCATCTCTACCATGGACTACCATCTCCTTATTTAATCCACAGAGGTTAATGTTCCTACCTCCCCTCCTTTAATGAGTGTTCCGTTCTTTGGAAACTTCTCACAAAACTCAAGTTGGCTGAAATTTCTTGGCCATGTTTTATGCTTTGAAAAATAAGGTTTAGTGGGAAAAACGTTTTTTCTGGGTTTCTGTTGAATTTCCTTAGTCCAACAGAGAAAAATGGAAAGGGGAAAATGTAGAAGCAGCAAGTTTTAGGACTAGACTCTGTCTGCTTCAATAGGGGAAAAAAAAAGTCTCTCCCAATGAAATATTTCTTCCCTTTTTTTTTTTTCTTTCCCTCTTGCTAGAAAAAGCCAAGGAAAGTTACTCTTCTGCTTGACTTGAAACAAAAATATTTTTTCAGGTTTTTTTTTTCCCCTGATTTGGAAAGCTGTGTTTGTCACCCGGGGGTTGTTTTACGCTTCCCTTCCAAACCTCACCCGTACTTCAGCATGAACCTTTCAGCGTCCTTCCAGGAGACCTCTGCCAGCAAAGCTGTGTAAACTCCAGCTAATATCAGGCTCAGTTTCTTACACGGGCGAGTGAATTGAAAGCTGACGTTGTTCTCATGCTATGTAAACTGAGTGTCACTCGGAGCTTTAGACCTCATTGTCTGAGGCCTTGACCGCCTTCAGAGCTGAAGGAGCTTTACTGAATAGACTGGAACAGTCAGGTGGCTGACAGCAGGGACTGCTGCAGATGTCTCAGGCAAGAGCAGCTCTAGGCTGCTCTTGGAGGCTTTAGCTACCGCCTCCCTGTCCAGTTCAGCAGCTGTTAGCTTTTAAAAATTTGAGGGAGCCCAGAAAAAGTCTTTAACCCTCTGCCCAAGGTGGACTGTCCCTCCTGGGAGCAGGTCTTTGCCCCAATAGGGCTTTTTCCCCTGGACAAAATATGCTTTTCTCCCTTCCACCTTCATTCTGCTGAGCCTATGTCTGTTGGGCTTTGCTTGCCTGCTGAAAGCAGGGTCATTTAATGACCTTTTAAAAATCTCCTTATGGGGTGCTGCTAAGTCGTCTCTGTTTTGGCAGTAGCATCCCTCCTCTCTTGTTCCAGCCCTGCAGAATTATCCCTGTGCCCTCCATGATCTCCAGCATGTCCTGCTGGCACGTGTGCAGCAATTTCCAGTTACAATTGCCCATACAGGACAAAATGTGAAATGTTTTGGTTTTCTGGGCTCTTTGGGGTGGTGGAGTGTCTGAGGCAGGTTGGGAACGAGACCATGCTCCCTTTGCTATGTTCCTAACTGTGTTACTTTTCTCTTTGTCCTTTCCACAGAGAGTACAGACAACTTTGTCTCAAGTAAGTATCTCCTTGGCCTTTGCATACCGTGGGTGTTTTGTTTTCGTGGTCCCTGCCCCTCTGTGACTTACACGCTCCAAAAACAAGTTGATGAAGGCTGCACAAAGCTCTGGTGTCCCCGTGCATGAACAAGATGGCTGGGGAGCTTTTCATCAGCTGGGAGATCTCTGGAGCCCAGGAGATGCTAATTTCCCTCTAATGACCTCCTGAAGAAGGTTCTGTAGTGGAAATTACAGTCTTTGAGGCCTTAAATGGCAGTTTAAGAGTTTCAGAGAGTTTCAGAGTTACTGAAACTCTAACCAGCTGGTTGTGGTGTAGCAGAAGAGGTCTTAACTAGAAGCTGGCTGGCCAAGCCCAAAGTAGTTGTGTGTCAATTCAACTTTTGTAGCGTTTCCTCAACAGGTTCTTTCTTCCCCCCCCACGTCCTCCAAAAAGAATTCAAGTTACTGTTCCTTTGGAGCAAGTTCTGCTGGAGTCAGTCTCATGTTTTAACCCTATTTAGCTCAGTGGATTTTTGAATATTCTAGGAGATGTTTGGATTTCAAGGCCGGGCTGGTTGGGGCTTTGAGCAACCTGGGCTGGTGGAAGGTGTCCCTGCCCATGGTAGTGGGGATTGGAACTACATGATCTTTAAGGTCAATTCCAACCCAAACCATTCAATGATTTCTGTGGCTTGGGTGGAGGCCATCCACCCTAGGGCACCAGGCAGCTAAATGATTCTGTCTTGTAAAGTCGAAGTGACATCAACGTTGTCCTGGTCTGTGTTTTCTCTGCTGTTGTGCACAGACAACTCTCTGATGGCTGATTTTGGTGCCTACTGAAACAGAAAGTTGCAGACTCTGTTAGGGGTGAACTGGATCTCATTAGGTCAGGCACTGCTAGTGGGGATGTGTTGGTGCCTTGGGAGTCCCATGGGAGCCATGTTGAATCTTCTGTCTTCGGTGTTTTGGTTTCAGTTGGTGATTATGAAGTGAGTCCCACCCCACCGATCACTGTGACCCACAAACCGGAGGAGGACACTTTTGGGGTGAGTCCTATCCTCTTCTCCACAGAACTGTTTTGCATGCATTTCTTGTTATTGGTGACTCAGCACTTACATTCCTGTGCTCTTCTGAGATGTTTGCAAGGAAAATCTCTTCCTTTATGACTCAAGACAACAATCAGAAGGATTTTGTGGCTTGTGTCAGGCAAGTAAAATACTGACACGAACCATCTGATCCTCTTGGGTCTGCGGTGTAGAACTAGAGAGCTCTTTGAAAACAAGGCATCCTGTGAAGTTGTTGCTGGCAGGGTCAGAAATTCTCATTCTAAAAAAGTAGCACCCAGAGAACAAACAAACAGGTAATTTTATGCTTCATACTCTTATTGAGCTGTTAAGTTTAGCCCTGTGAGGGACTCGGATTTAGCTGGGTTCAGTTTTGTCAATGCCAGTTTGCCCTCTCTCCTGCTCTGCAGGGCATGCCAAAAATGAAAAAGGAAAGAAAGCCTACAGCTTATCAGATCTCAATGTTGTCTTTCTTCTGTAGAATCCAGGTAGAAAAAGGGGGGGGAAAAAAAAAGTATTGGGGGGGGGAAATTTAGCATGTTACACAATTACTCTAAGTCTGTGAAATTTTTAAGATCTCGAAACCCACCAAGTGTTAACAGAATGAACAAAATTCAATCCACCTGGTTTCAGTTCTCATCCACCTGAAAATCTCCTGTAAGTGAAAGCTTTGCAAAGTGAGGCTGGAGCAATAATATGCACTGATTATTAAATATAAAGTACAGAAAACAAGAAGCGGGATGAAAATAGAGCATGGTAAAATAAAAAATGTAAAAACTTTGTAGCTAATGTATCAAGGGCAGGGAAAAGGGTTGCAAAATGAGATTACTTTTTCTTGGTTAAATGATGTATTTTCTATTACAGCAGAATACAGTTTTGTAAAAAGAGGCAAAGTTTAAATGCATCACAAGACCCAGTGCAGGAGAACAATTGGACAAATGCCAAAGAAATTGTTGTTTACATCAATGCAATGAAAGTATCTTGAGCAAAGACTTGAAAGAATAAATATTCATAAATATTAAAATAAGACGGGGATTGTAAATCCTTTAGGGCAAAGAGGTTTTCTTTCCTCTGCTTGTACACTGACACAGTGGAACTACAGTTCCAGTGAAGGACTTTGGACACTGTTGTAGTATAAATATTTACTACTAAAAATTACAATAAATAGGGAACCATTAGAGGCTTTAGGAAAACCAAATGTTTTGGGGGAAAAAAATTACTTGTACTTAATTTCTTTCTCCTTTCTTTTTGTGGTGTGTTATTTTCCCTCATTCTTTGTCTTGAGGGATGTTTGGATGGAGACAGATTTGCCCTCTTTAAAGTATTTTCTGCTGCTCCTGTGTGTTCCCAGCTCAGGTTGGTATAGTTGTAGTGTTGTGACATCATGGCACGGTGGTGATGCTACAAATGGAGGTTAACGATGTGGTACAGTGAAGGGGGAGCCCAGACACTGAAGCAGAGGTCCTCCTTCCCTGCAGATGTATGAGTGAGAGGCTGTGGAGAACTGGTGCCAGGATGACATCACTGATAAGGAGAACCCAAACTTCCCAGTCCTGCAAACAGCCTGTGATGCTTCCAAGCTGTGCCAGAGCCCTTTGCTTTCCTGTGCATTTTCCTCCACAGCTGATCCATGGGGCTGCAGCAGATGGTATGAGCCTACAGAAAGGTTAACTGGGCAAGGAGATGCTGTGTTTCCAGTCTAGACTCCTAAATTCCTCTGTCTTGACTCTAAGGCTTTTTCCTTTCAGGTTTCCATAGCGGTTGGGCTGGCAGCTTTTGCTTGTGTCCTCTTGGTCGTCCTCTTTATTATGATCAACAAGTATGGTCGGCGGTCCAAGTTTGGGATGAAAGGTACGTGCAGTTGCTTTTCTCTAGCAGGAGGCACCTTCCAGGATTGCCCGGCTTTTATAGCACACGTGGAAAGGTGTTGTGGTTTTATTCCTACGTTGTCAGTACTGGTGCAAAGCCTTCTGAAGAGAATGTTGTTCAGCTGTCTTCTGTTTGTTGAGAGTGTAATGGAGATATCGGGCAGGTCGTTCTCACCTGTATGTGCTTCTCACGGGCAGAAGTATGCAAGTGTGTTCCTTCTCAGTACATGGCTGAATCTGCAGGTTGCCCTGAAGAGCTTTGAGCATGCTCCCTCCAGCCACGGGTTGAGGGAGTTGTACTCAGGAGAGCATGTTCTTGGATGAAACCTTTTTTTCCCAGACCTTATGACTTAGGGGTTTTGCCTTGTGTTGCGCTGAGTGCAGAGCGCAGGGTGTCAAGGGGGAACAGAAGGTTGCAAATATTGGTTTGGGTTCTGTTGGAAAGGCAGGTGCACCCATTCTGTGCCTGTCTGTGAACAGGGACCGAGACGCTGCTGTAAGTTTGTAAGGTCCGTGCTGGGAAAGCAATTGCTGACCTTCTTTTAGTGATGTGGAAGTCTTTCTGCTGCCTCTCTGTTGGAAGGTTTCATCCTCCGTGTTGGGAATAACCCCATTAGGAGCTATTTCAGGTGTCTTTGGTAGTGACTGGAAAGTGAGAAGGCATCTGATGTTTGCCTGGCAGAACTGGTCTCTCTGTCCTACCAACACCAGCGCTGTGATGTGATAGAGCTAATGCCAGAAAAAAGTAGATGACTCTGTGACATCTGCTTTTTGTGACTGCTGGTATCTCCAGCTGGCCAGCGTTGGTGGTGCCTGGTGAAGGCTGGAGGAAGAGCTTTCAGATGACAAAGTAGTTCCCAGCCTAATTGGTGGCTCATGCATAGGCCATTTGAAGCCAGACTTTGACAAACACGAGCTTCTTCCAAGGCTCCTGAGTTGCTGCCTATTTCCTGGCCTTGCTGGGGTCTGTGTCACAGGGCAGGTTGATAGGTTTGGGAAGGTTTCTTGTGTTTGCCTAGGGCTTTGTTTTCTTTACAGAGACATTTCCTGAATGGGTCCAGATGGGATTCTGGCTGGAATTTCCCCTATGCATCCTATGGTGATGGAAGACAGGACATTTAATTAAATAGCAGATCTTCTACACCAACTTTGCAATATTTAGTCCATATGTCCAATGATAAGAACCATCTGGTAGGGTGTTCTGGCTGGTGGGTGGAGTAGAGGAGTGGAAGACATGGTTCCTGGGATCAATTCCCAGCTCTTCTACTGACTCATTTAGTGTCCGTAGGCAATTAGCCATCTTAACCTCTGTCTCCGCTTTAATTTCCCCATCTGTAAAATTGGGATGATGTTACGTGCCTTCTGGATGGATGTGTCAGAACACTTTGGAAGTGCTTGGGTGTTTGCCACTGATGGGGCTTAGAGACACAAATATAAGAGAAGTAACTTCTGACCCTAATGGAAGATTCAAAGAGGAGTGAACCTTAACGTGAGTAACCAGTGTTGGTGAATAGATGTGTGTACGCGTTCAGATGTGTTTGGACAAGTGTGTTAGTGGATATCTGCATTCCCAGAAACCAGAGAGATGCTGTGATGGGCCCTTGTGTGTGCAGTTTTGGAAGGCAAAAGTGTTTAGCCACAAAAGCCTGCTGTTCTCCTCCCTGTGCTGTTATTTCTTTCAGCTCTGATATGAAACAACTGCAGAGTTTCTAAAAGTTTTATTGATGACACGGCTTGGAGAGATGTAGTTGGTGGAAATTAAATACATCTTTAAAACCAGGAAGATATCTCTATAATGAGTCACAAGTGTCATAGGCACCGCGGTGGGAAGCCTACTCGTGTTGTCTAAGCTCTGCTCCCTGTTGGAGGCTGCAGATTGTAGAGTGTCTTCCTAGCCCATGGGCTTACCTGCTTTATGCCTCCTGCTTTTCCCCAGCATCTCTTCTGCCTACACTTTTTCTTTACCCATAGTACCATTGTCAACATCCAGGCCACCATCTTTAGCCTCTGCCTCCTGTCTTGCGTCAGGCTTGCTACCAGACCTCACCTCTTTCACCCGCAACACGAAGACTTTGAAGTGGATGGGGTGGTTGGTGGTAGCCTGGCTACAGCCTGCCCTGGCAGCTGATTTATTTCTCACCCCCTCAAGAAATGGCACAGTCCCCTGCACGCTTTCCAAAATACAGTTTCTAAACTCTCCTTGCTTGCTGCTCTGCAGGTCCCGGAGTCCAGAGCCTTACTCTCTCCATTGGTCGCTTTAGGGTCTCAGCTGAGCTGCTGCAGTTTGCCCCACTCTGGCGATGATACCTTGAAGCTTACGTTTGTGCTTCATGTCTCTTTCCGCGGAGTCTTCTCTTTCACTCCGCTAATGGGCTGCTCTTCCTTTCCTCCTCTCTGGAGTTTTTCTGCTCATGAGGTGATTCCTTTGTCTCAATCATCAAATCACTGAGTGGTCTGAGTTGCTCTTTCAGGGGCTCATAAACAGGTTCTACCTTATTCTGACACCCTGTATTGGGACAGTGCAGCTGGCAACCACCTCCACATCTCCTTTAGCCAGCACTTTCCTCTGAATCCCTCGTTACCGGTTAATGCTTGGGCAGGAGCCATCCTGTGCAGCACCCATCATGTTATCATTTGCTAAGAAAATAAATCCAAAACCTGAGTCTTTTTGGGAAAGTGCATCATTCCTTGAATCAGGAGCTGTTCATTGCCAGCTGATATGTTGCCACTTGTTGAAATCCCAGCTTGGCAGGCCTGCAGGAGCAGGTTTTTCCTGTTGTTTTTGTCACGGACGCAGAACATTATGTGCTCATGTTGGACACGTTTCTCAGAGCACCTCGTGCGTTTCTCTGAGCACATCTTTTTTCCTTCTGTGTCTCCTAGCATTAAGCAGATGGTTTATCTCCTAGAGAGTGAAGTGGGCTTGGACTGATAGGGTTGGATGTCACATTGGGGTGGAAAGTCCACTTGGGCCAGCCCGCTGGGTTGCCCACTAGTCTTAAAAGTGGACTGATGTCCCAGCTGACTTTGCTGAAAAGGAAGTCACTGCATCTCGGGGCACATGGCTGGGAGAGGACTATGAGAGGGTGGTGTGTCCACATTTGTCTTCCTCTGGCTGGTAGCACACCCTTGGAGCGTTGCACGAGAGTCCTGGCAGAGCCACCACTCTGGTTACGACCTGGCTACTGATACAGCCAACAGCCAAACGGTGGAAAAGCCCGCACTGCCAAGCGCGCCGTTGACGGGCTGGAGCGGTGGCATCAACAAAAGCCCTTTGTGAAGGGAGCTCTGACGCGCTGTGTTCCCGGCTCCTTGGCATCCCTCGGCTGAGCCTGCGGAGGCTTGGCTCTATGCCATCCCCTGTGCCTTTCCCTGCTCTCTCCAGAGAGGGCATTCATTAACAGGGGATGGCGGAGGTCAGATCCCCTTTCTGGCTGCCTGTTGACTTTGGCTCCTGTAGCTGGGGGGGATAGGAGTGGGCTGAAGCAGCTGGGGGGGGGGGGGGGGACTGGGGAATCACCGGAGCCGGGGTGGCGGAGGCGGCAGGAAAATGGCAAACAAAGCGGCTTTTTGTGAAACTTGGTGGTACATAGGCAACACGGAGGCAGTGGAGGGGAAACCGCTGGGAAAAGTGAATACAGAAACTGAGAAGCCTTGAAATCACAGACATGGGCTGCAAGTATTTGCTAAAGGCGGTGGATCCAGAGGGGAAGCTGAGATGCATTTTAAAGCCTTACAGGAAGAAGAACAGGATCTAACAGAGAAAGGAATTGGGAGTCAGGGCACTTCGGTGTCCCAGAGGAGTGGGTTGTACAGATGGGATAGACTGCAAGGGAGTAAGGAGCCCAGCATCTGCTCAGATGTTGCTTGCTCTGGGCTTGGTGTCCCATGTTCCCTGACGCCCGCCGGAGGTGGAGGGTTTTACACCTCACCTTCTGGGGTCAGGCCTGTCACTGCAAGCCTCGTAAACCCGCATCTTCCCATCAAAGGTTAATCCCAGCAGATGACAGGAAATGGAATTTCATAATATAATAAAAAAGCCTCACACAAGTCTCGGGACTAACAAAATTGAAATTTCATAAAACAATAATAACGACACAGAGAAGTCCTGGGACTAACAAAATGTTTGGATGGCACAGTGGTGGAGGCTGTGTAAACGCTTAGGTTGAAGGACTGAAATACATGGTCTTTTGCTTGTTTTCTGTTACATTTGCCAGTGCCTAGGGATAAAGAATGTGTGCTTGTGCATATTTGTGTGACCTATTCCTGGTGCTGCACAACTTAAACCCAACAAACAAAAAACCCCAAAACACTGGGTTTGCAGAGATACGGAGGAAAAGATGCTAGACAAAATCCAGATGAACACTTGTCATTTTGCTGAGTTGAACTATTTTCCAAGCTTTACTTGCATTCTCCAAATGAGGTTTTCCGTGGTAGAGACAGTGCCAGCTAATTGTTCAGACTTGGATACAGTTGGCAAAGAGTCGATTGCTTTTTAATCTGCTTTCCTAAAGAAGTAAGGCGTGTGATCACGCTGCCTCTCTGCATGTGTGTGAGTCTGTCTGTAGAGCTCTGCCTGGTTTTTACCTTTCTCTGCTGCAGGTTTTGGGATCTTCTGGCTGGTCCTACCCAGAGAAGAGTCAGGAAGGACTTAGAGATGGCTTTACAGGCATCATGGAAATAGGGGGGCTAAATAGGGGATTACACTTGGGTGATGCCCCACTGATGGAGGTGCCTCGAGCCTTTCTGAGCATCGGACAATCTGTATGGAAGCTCAGCCTCGGACAGAAAAACAAAACACAGGGGACCAGGCTTTCATGGGGTCTGCTGTGGTGGGTGGTGCTTCTCTGTACACAGGCATATACATATTTTTGTACAAAATAGACAGAAACAACAAGGAGGTGGGGGAGAAACAAGAAAACAGTAAATAAATACTGCCCACGCTTTCTGTAGTGTTTGAGGAATTGCATCGCTATCAGTTCG